TTAACAAACTTAATCATATTCAATAAAAATAATTAAATTTCTAACATTAATGTTACCCTAAATATAAATATAAGTAATATTAACTAATTTATGCAAAAATTAAGAAAATTATTTAATATCATTTAACTTTATTTATCTCAATTAAAAATATTTTTCTTCTTATATTCTCTATTTTATACTCAAATTCCGTGTAATAAAAAATAAGTTTTAAAATAAGTATTATTTTAATTTTTTTAATATAATATTAATTTTAATTTTAATTTTTTAATCTATACTCGTAACATTTTTGGAAAGCTGTTGTCGTATTGTATTGTTTACAATAAAAAAAATGTTACTAATAAAGTTAATTTTGCAATCTATTTTATTTATTTATTATTATTTTTTTATAAAAAAACATAAATGACACTTATTATTGAACGTGAGAGCATTGTTCTTCATTAAAATCTGATATAAAAAAAAAATAAAGTTATTAAAAAAAAGTCAGGTTATTTTTAGAAATGATATCATTATTAAAAAAGATAAAATTAATTTTCAGTTTACTTATATTTTGGTGGACTATTCTACTTATTTTGAGTCTGAAATAGTAGTTATTATAGAATTTTGATAATTAACCGGATATTATACTTCTGACAGCGTCTATAAAAGGAGAAGCAGCGTTGATGGGTGTGGCATTCACTGATTAAGACTAAGTAGTTAGTTATCAGAGGAAGAATGGCAGAGAAGAGTAAGAGCAAGATTCTGATCATTGGAGGCACTGGTCACTTTGGAAAACACGTCGTGGAGGCCACTGCCAAAGCTTCTCACCCAACCTTTGCTTTCGTTAGGGAATCCTCTCTTTCTAACCCTCACAAAACACCCCTCTTCGACAAATTCAGAAACCTCGGTGTTCATTTTCTTATCGTACGTTAACCCCAATCATTTATACATGCACGTGTCTTTCATTTTATCTATATATATATAATTGAACTGACCTTATTATAACATGCAGGGAGATATAAAAGATCACCAAAGTTTGGTCAATGCCATAAAGCAGGTCGATGTGGTCATTTCCACCCTAGGATACCTGCAGCTGGCTGATCAAGATAAGATCATTTACGCCATTAAAGAAGCAGGAAATGTTAAGGTATATAAGTATTTTTGAAATGTAGCACTTATATATATATATATATATATATATATATATACCAATTACCAAAGATATGTTACTGACACTCCCAATGACATTAATGGTAGAGAGATTGTAAGAAAAATTGTGTTAGAGAGCGATGTTAACATTTTTTTTTAATATAAATGAGAGAGATTTTGAGTTTGCACTAACAAACACTTAACACTATTCTGTTTCAGAGGTTCTTTCCATCTGAGTTTGGACTTGATGTGGACCGGACTCATGCAGTGGACCCTGTGAAGAGTTTATTTGCAACAAAGGTCAAAGTTCGCAGAATCATCGAGGCTGAAGGAATTCCTTACACTATTGTGTCAAACAATTACTTTGCTAGTTTCTTCCTACCCAAATTGTCACAGCTTCCTCCAATTGAAGCTGCTCCTAGAGACAAAATTACTATCCTAGGAGATGGAAACCCCAAAGGTATGCTATGACTCATTAGAATTCACAAATTTACTAGTCACCCTTGTACGTCTTATGAACTTTTGCTTCATTAACAGCTGTTTTTAACAAGCCACTTACACAATCAAAGCTGTGGATGATCCAAGAACCCTGAACAAAATTCTCTACATTAGACCACCAGCTAATACCTTATCGTTTAACGAGCTAGTTACTCTCTGGGAGGGAAAGATCGGTAAAACTCTTGAAAGAATCTATGTCCCAGAAGAGCAAGTCCTGAAGCAAATTCAAGGTTAGCTAGGGTCAAGGGAATATGGTCATTATTTTTGGTTATGTAGTGTTGCATTTAATAATGATAACTTATTTCCTTTTTTGTTTTTTTTTTTTCAGAGTCTTCACATCCCGTGAATGCATTGCTATCGCTTCATTACTCTTCCTATGTAAAGGGGGATCATACTAACTTTGAAATTGAGCCTTCATTCGGTGTGGAAGCTTCAGCTTTATATCCTGATGTCAAATACACCACTGTGGATGAGTTCCTTAATCAGTTTGTTTGAGATGCGAGCCTAGTCGATATGCTTTTTCCTTCCCGAAGCTTTGTTTTAATAAAGAGAATGTTTTTCCATTCGTCAATCTTTGTTTATATAAAGAGAATTATGTAATAGCACTCCCTTGCTGGCTGTGCCCCCTCAAAATTAGGGGTGGGAAAATAAAAATTATACTGAACTTAAAAGTAGTTCATATGAACTGAACTAAAACCTAAATATTAGTTCAGACGAACTGAACTGAACTATTCTTTTGTGTCATTGAACTATACTATAAAAACTTGAACTGAACTACACTTTAAACTATGCAATAAACTGTTATGATATTTTGAATTGAACAATTTTGACTCATTGATCTATCAAAATAGGACACATTTGCCAACTTTACTTTATTTTTCATTTTATTTAAATTTTTCAAAGGAAAAAAATATAAAATTAAGTCAAACAAACTCAATGAATTTTAAGCCTAAAAATAAGTAGTTCAACATAACTCAATTAATCCGTTAAGTTCGACAAAATTGATACAATTTTTTTTTCAGATCACTTTTTTTTCTAAAGTTTTGGTTATTAGACTATTGAGCTAATCCATTAAGACATAACATGTTAAACACATTTAATTTTTATTCTTTTATAAAAATAATTCAATTTTTATAATTCAATTCAGTTCTTATAGTTCAGTACAGTTCAACTTTACAACAGTTCAGTTCAGTTCAGTTTTTTTTAAACAGTTCAGTTCAGTTTTTTATAGTACAGTTCATCACCAGTTCAGTTTAGTTCAGTTCAGTTTAGTTTTTTTTGCCCACCCCTACTCAAAATAACCATGTATGACGTAACCTATCCTATATATATATGCTATGATATTTTTATTACATGCTTGTTGATGTCATTAATTTAAATTTCATTTCCTTCTTACTTGTATCAAATTTTAGGTGAAAAAATATATCTTAACAAAAAGGGAAATGACAGTATGTTAGAAGATAGTGTAGCCCAAATGACCAACAATTTCGGAGGAAGATAATTCAGTTTGACTTTTGGCAAACATTTTATCAAAAATACGGAGGATATAACTATCGAATCAATTTAAGCTGATTTTCTTTGATGTAGTAATTTGATTAATATATGCCTTTTGCGAATGTGTAAGGTCTAATAGATATATAAATTAAAAAATAATATAAATTGTGTAAATTAAAAAGAAAGGTTAGAGCATAATACATCGAAATTTATCTTAATTTCATCGTCAGACATTTGTAACTTACACCTAATCTGATTAATAATATCTAATCCTTAATCAAAACTCGAGATTTTCTTCAACTAATTTTATCAAGAGTTTACATTGTTCAATCTAATACAACTAGTGATGTATCACGGTAAATAGCTCACAATAATAAGGATTTCTCACTCAAATCAATGTAAGATTCTTCATCTTTAATAAATCACAATAATAGGCATACGACATACCTCATCGCCATTAACGGATATAAAAAATACAACTATACCCCAAAAGAAAAATAGTATATGATTGTTGAGGGTTCGAACGATATCGGTGTAACTTTTATTAAGTATTACACCGCTCAATAATTTTATATTAAATATGAATTTTATGAATCCAAACATGAGATCGAAAATTTTTTATTCTTAGATCATATATACAAAATTTTATATTAATCAAAGATAATTTAATATTTCATTTTTATAAATCAAAATTAACGTAATATATACATTTTAAAATATAATAAAATATAAATACTTTAATTATCTTCAAGTTATTTAATTTTAACAAAATTTGATATAAACATATAAAGTGATATGAAATTATAATTTAATGATTGTATTTACATATATATATATATATATTTCTTTGCTTTCTAAATTGAGTTTTTTTTTTGCTGATTTTAAAGGAGCCAAATAATTAATTAGAAGGCAAAATCCCTGTGGAATATAATTCATGGATTCTTGTATTTGGTAAGAAAAATCGACTTATTTGCAAGCAATATTATAGGTGTGTTCGATAAAAATACTGTAATAATGTATTTGGATGGAGAATTTAAATGGAGTAATTCATTTATTTGAAGAATTTCAAATTCTGAGGTGAAATACCTTGTTTGGATGGAGAATTTATAAGGAATTTGAAATTCAAGTATTTATGAAATTCTTTGAAATAGTAGAATTTCAAATTCTCCCAAAAAAGTAAGAATTTGAAATTTCTCATATTTTTTCTTCTTCTTATTTCACTTATATATTTTATCTTATCTCTTATCTCTTCATGTTTTTGAATTATTAAATATTCAAAAATATTTTTAAGATTATTAAATATTATATAATATTAATTTTTTAAAATTATTAAATATTTAAAAATTTGCTAATATTTATTTTTATAAAATTTAATTTAAAAATTCTCGATATATAAATATATTTTTAAAATTAATTTTACCATGGTGAGATCAAATTATCATATCCAACCTAATAATTTAAAATTTGATAAATTTGAATTGACTTATCCAAACAAAATATTTTAAGAATGATAGAAAATGAAAACAAAGTAACTCAAATACAAAGAATTTAAAATCCCTTGAATTTGTAAAATTCTTTATCCAAACACACCATAAAATTAGAGCTAAACTCGTTCAAAAATAGCTCTCAATTATGAAATGGTTCATGTCCTTTCCCTTAAAATACGGACTCCCACCGTCATTTGCACAAGTTCCTGTGAAACAATAACTAGTTGGGCAGTGTCTAAAGACTTTAAACAGCTTAGAAGCACATCGGCTTTCAATAGCATCCTAAGCAACGTACTTTAAGAGACAAATTACACTCAACCTGAACCTGAACCTGAAGCGAAAGCGAAAGAGATGAATTTTGCCTGAATATTGAGGTAGAAGGCTCCTGTCACAGTATAAAAAATTAACAATACAGGCTGAGATTTACAAGAAAATCCAATGAATACATGTGTAGTGACAATGAAATTCACTGCCAATATTAGCACATCTTCACTTCAGGTATAATATGTATAATATAACAACGAGTGGACGTTTAAGATTTTCTGTAACTGCACACTGTGCATACCGGCATCCATAATGCCATGAATACAAGTTTTTACGAAAAAAGAGGGGAAATTAACTAGCCTGAATGTTCTCAAAACCTAACCTAAGCAGACATTCAAATCATGAGAGCCAAGTATCAGTCTGCCCGAGAGCCACTGCTACCTGCAGAAGATTTCTTACTGCCATACTTCTGCCAAATATTGAAAGAAATACTGCGTTATATTTCACCAAGAAAGGACACAAAAACAAAAGGAAATCTTACTTGTGCTGGACTTAAGGTACAAAGAAATAACAGTTGTTGCACAAGCAAGATAAATGATAGAAGGGCAATTTAAGCATAAGAAACTCAACCTGCTTCCCCAAGTTGAAGGGAATATATTTGTATTTGATCATGTGTGCAATTTGGCGCCTCATTGTAAGGACAAAGAGAACAAACCAGTAACAGAGTAATATGGGCCAAAAGACAGGAACATCAAATACGGAAAAGAAGGTCATTACAAAGGCTATGCAGAGAGCCTTGGTGAAGGAATACCTGCATCCATTACAAAAATTCACGCGCATGAATAGCAGCAACCACTCTGAGTAAATAAATTACTAATGCAAATGAACTCACACCACCAAAATCACTACTCATGACACAAGTTAATTTCAATTTATGGGAGAAATTTAAGGCCCTGTTTGAATAAAACATTTCAATATGCAGTTATATGAGAAATAACTTGGTTTTAACTAATGGAATAAGTTTAAGGTCTTGTTTGAATAAAGAAAAAAAAATCAATAAACAGTTATTGAAGAAAATAAGATGGTAAAAAGAATTAAAATTCTTCTACAAGTTAAAATTAGCTTATGGATAAGTTAAAACTAATTTCTAATGAGTTAATCACCTATACACTGCCAGTGTAAAGTTTTTTTACACTGGTAACCAATTATATCTTTTAATTGTGCCATGTCACTGTAAACACATTTACTTTTAACAGTGACATGACACAATTAAAAGATATAATTGGTTGCCAGTGTAAAAAAATTTTACATTGACAGTGTATAGGTAATTAACTCATTTCTAATTATTAGTCAAATGAGAGAGCTTTTGACTTATCCATTAGCTAATTTAACTTACGAAAAAAGTTTAATTCATTTTACTTTCTTATTTTCTTTTCCTATTACTAGAATTGTTTATTTAAAAGTTTATCTAAAAAGGACTTAAATAAGTTTATCTTCTTATTTTCTCTTCCTATAAGTTTATAATTTAATAAATCAAATTAAAGGATCAGAATGATGCAATTATTATCCCAACTGTAGAAGATCTTAATCTGATAAATGGTCATGGGATCACACACTTATGCAGACACAACAAAACATTGAAAGAAAACATCACTTTTCTTTTGTTCCCTATAAATGTATGCACTATCACATTAGTTCCTACTTCCTAGAACAATGAAAATTTCAAATAACTCCTTGAAATTTTCAATTGTTTCATCTAAGTTCCTAAATTTAAGTACTTACTGTTATTTTAATCCCAAAACATACATTATTATTATTATTATTATCACTCAAGTCATTTTTTTTTTAAATTTTAGACTAATATGATGATGGACAAAAATTGCACTTTCAGGGACTTATTTGAAATTTTCTTAATTTTAGGGATTAATATGACCTATACACTTTCACAAACTAAAATGAAGGTTTACACTAGAACTTTTTATATATTTTTAAATGTTGACATTACATAGAATATCTCAGTCCCAAATACAAATTTTAGGTCAATAACACACACACATAACTTATAACATATAACGAAATATAACAAACCAATTAAGACTGAATACTACCAATTGTACAACAGAAAAACTCCACGACCCATCAATATCTACCAAAGTTAGGCTATTACATAATCGGTGGGCTACTGGCTGATCTATGTCACAGCCTGGGACACAATCATTTATAGTTTTATTAATCAAGCCTCATGAGGTTATAAAGACCAAAACTTTTAGGAATACGAAGTTTCTTTGGCATCTCTCCCATTCAATATTAAATCACTATATATGGCTTGGCACGAGTAAGGGAATCAAGTGATTATCTTATAAGGAAACTGGCAATGGTCCAGATATTCATGTCAAGGGGTGAAATTCTGCATTTGAAAAGTTTGTACGTTGCATAAAATATATAATGGTACTGTGGAGAACATTTCAAATGACGCTATGAAGGGGTATTCTGTCATGGTTTCTGACTTTCTGTCATTAATGAAAGAGTTCTAAAAACTGTACTGACAATTATGTAGAGACACGTCACAAAAACCACACTATGCTTCTTTTCTCTTTTCACTGGAAAGCCACAATTAATCTTCACCCACTATCTCCCTAGCAAATTTCCATCAAAACCTCTACTGGAAAGAGTCTCTTTTATTCGAGGAATAAACTGTGTAGATCTACATAAGTTAGTTATAATTAACAGGGGAAGTTTAAGGCCCTCTTTGAATAAAACATTTCAATAAGCAGTAATAGGAGAAGTAAGTTGATTTTGGATTTGTTTTGGTAAACTTCTCCACAGGAACTTTTAGTAGAAAAAAATGAAATAATTTTTTCTACAAATTTAAACTAGTTAATGCATGAACTAATTTGTAGAAGTTCTCTCTTCTTAGCTTCTTCAAAATGTTAGTTTTACCATATGAAAAAACTTATGTAATTTTTCCTTCCTATTTTATTCTCCTAGAAGTATTACTGGGGAAGTTTATCCAAATAGACCTTTTAACTTCCAAGAAAAGTTTAAGATCATGTGTGGATAAAACTTTTCAGTAAACAGTTACCGAAGAAATTTAGAAGGTAAAATGCATTAAAAACAATTTTACAAGCTAAAATTAGCTCATGTATAAGCTAATATATAAAATATCTCTCATATTATCCAGTCCGCAAGCTAATTTTCACTTATCTTATCCGCAAGCTAATTTTAACTAATGGAAGAAGCTTAATTCATTTTAATTCCTTATTTTTTTTTCTCCTATAAGTGTTTAATTATAAGTTTATCCAATTAAGACCTAAATCAGTATATCTTCTTATTTTCTCTTCCCATATTTGTTAACGAAGAAGTTTATCCGAGCAGAACAAGGGACTTAACCTAACTCGGTTTATCTTCCTTCGACGCCATTATAGAAAAGATCCTGAATTAGCGGAACTTAAACCGAGAGAATGAGAAATTACCAGAACTTGAACTCAGGGAGGCGACGAATGAAGGGTTTGAACTCATCGGAGCCTTTGGTTGGAAGCATAGGGGCGTTGGAGGGATCGAGCTCAGGATCAACCAACGGGGAGAGAAAACCGATCAAGAGATTGAGAAGGTAGATTCCGAGGCCGTAAGAAACAATGTAAAATCCCTGCACATAAAAAGTTCGCAAAACGTAGATGATTGCAATGACCAAAGTCCCAATCCATCGGTACACAGAATGGGGAGTAGATTTATCGAGATAGTATTGAAACAGCTTGGAGAAGTCGTTTAAATATTTAGCCACAGGTGGAGACGAAGAAGCAGCGCCACCTCCACTTCCCTCCATTCTAATTGAATAAGCCAAGGTTAGGGTTCTGAAGTTTTAAGCTTAAAAACAGTAGAGAAAGGTTGATAGAATAAGAGGAAATAAGATCTGGGTGAGTGATTTTGAATAAGGTGGAGACAAGAAAGACAATTGAAGAATGGGAGCTGACCTGCTGCCTGAGTGGATCTGCGAGGCAGGGGATTAGGTTGATGCCACTTTTGTTGTTTCCTATTTTTTCCGTCAACCCTCTGTCTCTGTCTCATCTCTCATGTTTTTCGACTAGTGAAGGAAGTAAAAGGAAAATAAAAAATAAACTTTAGTACAGATCCAAAAAAATTAGTTGCTGTGTTAAATATAAATAAAATTATAATTATTTAAATTTAAAAATACAAATAAAATATCTGTATGTAAATGAAACATCAATAACGGAAATATTTTATTATACATTTTCGTAAAACTAGCTTTTTTTTTTATATACATTATATATATATATATATTAGTGAGAAAAAAAGCTTTATGTAACTAGTTTAAAAGATAATAGAATAACAAATTTTTTTATAATAATTTATGTAATTACTCGAGTTTGTGTAATTATAAAGAGTAAAAGGAAGAAGAATAAAAATAGAGTTATCTATCTTTATTAGAAGGCAAAATCCTTGTCGAATATAATTCATGGATTCTTTTATTTGGTAAGAAAAAACGGCTTATTTGCAAGCAGTATTATAGGTGTGTTCGATAAAACTACTGTAGAAGAGCTAAACTCGTTCAAAAATAGCTCTCATTTATGAAATGGTTCAAGTCCTTTCCCTTAAAATAGCGACACCGACACCCACCATCATTCGCACAAGTTCCAGAGAACCAATAACTAGTTGGACAGTGTCTAAAGTCTAAAGACTTTAAACAGCTGAGAAACACATCGGCTTTCAATAGCATCCTAGGCAACGAACTTTAAGAGACAAATTACACTGAACCTGAACCTATCCAATCTCCCTACTTTCGGTGATGGTGTTCAAGACCCTACCTAATCTTAACAATACAGTCGAGGCAGACAGAAAACGAAAGAGAAGGATGAATTTTGCCTGAATATTGTGGTAGAAGGTTCCGGTCACAGCATAAAAAATTCACAACTCAAGCTGAGATTTACAAGAAAATCCAATGAATACATGTGTAGCGACAATGGAATTCACTGCCAATATTAGCACGTCTTCACTTCGGGTATAATAAGTATAGTATAACAACGAGTGGACGTTTAAGATTTTCTGTAACTGCACAGTGTGCATACCGGCATCCATAATGCCATGAATACAAGTTTTTACGAAAAAAGGAGGGGGAAATTAACTAGCCTGAATGTTCTCAAAACCTAACCTAGCAGATCTTCGAATCATAAGAGCCATGTATCAGTCTGCACGAGAGCCACTGCTACCTGCAGAAGATTTCTTACTGCCATACTTCTGCCAAATATTAAAAGAAATACTGCGTTATATTTCACCCAGAAAGGACACAAAAACAAAAGGAAATCTTACTTGTGCTGGACTTAAGGTACAAAGAAATAACAGTTGTTGCACAAGCAAGATAAATGATAGAAGTGCAATTTAAGCATAAGAAACTCAACCTGCTTCCCCAAGTTGAAAGGAATATATTTGTATTTGATCATGTGTGCAATTTGGCGCCTCATTGTAAGGACAAAGAGAACAAACCAGTAACAGAGTAATATGGGCCAAAAGACAGGAACATCGAATACGGAAAAGAAGGTCATTACAAAGGCTATGCAGAGAGCCTTGGTGAAGGAATACCTGCATCCATTACAAAAATTCACGCGCATGAATAGCAGCAACCACTCTGAGTAAATAAATTACTCATGCAAATGAACTCACACCACCAAAATCACTACTCATGACACAAGTTAATTTCAATTTATGGGAGAAATTTAAGGCCCTGTTTGAATAAAATATTTCAATTCGCAGTTATATGAGAAGTAACTTGGTTTTAACTAATGGAATAAGTTTAAGGTTTTGTTTGGATAAAGAAAAAAATTCATTAAACAGTTATTGTAGAAAATAAGATGGTAAAAAGAATTAAAATTCTTCTACAAGTTAAAATAAGCTTATGGATAAGTTAAAACTAACTTCTGATTATTAGTCAAATGAGAGAGCTTTTGACTTACCCATAAGCTAATTCTAACTTATGAAAAAAGTTTAATTCATTTTACTTTCTTATTTTCTTTTCCTATAACTACAATTGTTTATTTAAAAGTTTATCTAATAGGACTTAAATCAGTTTATCTTCTTATTTTCTCTTCCTATAAGTTTATAATTTAATAAATCAAATTAAAGGATCAGAATGATGCAATTATTATCCCAACTGTAGAAGATCTTAATCTGATAAATGGTCATGGGATCACACACTAGCTTGCCCATTAACAAGCATATGCAGACACAACAAAACATTGAAAGAAAACAACACTTTTCTTTTGTTCCCTATAAATGTATGCACTATCACATTAGTTCCTACTTCCTAAAACTAGGAAAATTTCAAATAAGTCCTTGAAATTTTCAATTGTTTCATCTAAGTTCCTTAGTTTAAGTACATACTGTCATTTTAATCCCAAAACATATATTATTATTATTATCACTCAAATCATTTTTTATTTATTTATAATTTTAGACTAATATGATGATGGACAAAAATTGCACTTTCAGGGACTTATTTGAAATTTTATTAATTTTAGGGATTAATACGACTTATACACTTTCACAACCTAAAATGAAGGTTTGCACTAGAACTTTTTATATATTTTTAAATGTTGACATTACATAGAATATCTCAGTCCGAAATATAAATTTTAGGTCAATAACACACTCACATAACTTATAACATATAACGAAATATAACAAACCAATTAAGACTGAATACTACCAATTGTACAACAGAAAAACACCACAACCCATCAATATCTACCAAAGCTAGGCTATTGCATAATCGGTGGGCTAATTGCTGATCTATGTTACAGCCTGGGACACAATCATTTATAGTTTTATTTATCAAGCCTCGTGAGGTTATAAAGACCAAAACTTTAAGGAATATGAAGTTTCTTTGGCATCTCTCCCATTCAATATTAAATCACTATATATGGCTTGGCAATGGTCCAGATATTCATGTCAAGGGGTGAAATTCTGCCTTTCAAAAGTTTGTACGTTGCATACAATATATAATGGTACTGTGGAGAACATTTCAAATGATACCATGAAGGGGTATTCTGTCATGGTTTCTGACTTTCTGTCATGAATGAAAGAGTTCTAAAAACTGTACTGACAATTATGTAGAGACACGTCACAAAAACCACACTATGCCTCTTTTCTCTTTTCACTGGAAAGCCACAACTAATCTTCATCCATTATCTCCCTTGCAAATTTCCATCAAAACCTCTACTGAAAAAGTCTCTTTTATTCGAGGAATAAACTGTGTAGATCACTACTTGCTACGTAAGTAAGTTATAATTCACGCCCTCTTTGAATAAAACATTTCAATAAGCAGTAATAGGAAAATGTAAGTTGATTCTGGATTTGTTTTGGTAAACTTCTCCAGAAGAACTTTTAGTAGAGAAAAATGAAATAATTTTTTCTACAAGCTAAAATTAGTTAATGCATGAACTAAATTTGATTAAGTTCTCTCTTAGCTTCTTCAAAGTGTTATGCATAAGTTAGTTTTACCATATAAAAAAGTTTATTTCATTTTTCCTTCCTATTTTATTCTCCTAGAAGAAGTATTACTGGGGAAGTTTATCCAAATAGACCTTTAAACTTTTGAGAAAAGTTTAAGATCATGTGTGGATAAAACTTTTCGATAAACAGTTACCGAAGAAATTTAGAAGGTAAAAAGCATTAAAATTCTTTTTACAAGCTAAAATTAGCTTATGTATAAGCTAATATATAAAAGATCTCTCATATTATCCAGTCCGCAAGCTAATTTTAACTAATGGAAGAAGCTAAATTCATTTTAATTCCTTATTTTTTTTTCTCCTATAAGTGTTTAGTTAAAAGTTTATCCAATTAAGACCTAAATCAGTATATCTTCTTATTTTCTCTTCCCATATGTGTTAACAAAGAAGTTTATCCGAACAGAACAAGGGACTTAACCTAACTCCGTTTATCATCGTACGACGCCATTATAGAAAAGATCCTGAATTAGCGGAACTTAAACCGAGAGAATGAGAAATTACCAGAACTTGAACTCAGGGAGGCGGCGAATGAAGGGTTTGAACTCATCGGAGCCTTTGGTTGGAAGGATAGGGGCGTTGGAGGGATCGAGCTCAGGATCAACCAAAGGGGAGAGAAAACCGATCAAGAGATTGAGAAGGTAGATTCCGAGGCCGTAAGAAACAATGTAAAATCCCTGCACATAAAAAGTTCGCAAAACGTAGATGATTGCAATGACCAAAGTCCCAATCCATCGGTACACAGAATGGGGAGTAGATTTATCGAGATAGTATTGAAACAGCTTGGAGAAGTCGTTTAAATATTTCGCCACAGGTGGAGACGAAGAAGCAGCACCACCTCCACTTCCCTCCATTCTAATTGAATAAGCCAAGATTAGGGTTCTGAAGTTTTAAGCTTAAAAACAATAGAGAAAGGATGATAGAATAAGAGGAAATGAGATCTGAGTGAGTGATTTTGAATAAGGTGGAGACAAGAAAGAAAATTGAAGAATGATAGCTGACCTGCTGCCTGAGTGGATCTGCGAGGCAGGGGATTAGGTTGATGCCACTTTTGTTGTTTCCTATTTTTTCCGTCAACCCTCTGTCTCTGTCTCATCTCTCATGTTTTTGGACTAGTGAAGGAAGTAAAAATAAAAGAAAAAATAAACTTTAATACAGATCCAAAATAATATTTTCTGTGTTAAATATAAACAAAATTATAATTATTTAAATTTAAAAAATACAAATAAAAGATCTGTATGTAAATGAAACATTAATAATGGAAATATTTTATTATACATTTTCGTAAAACTAGCTTTTTTTTTTTTTTGCTTCTTATATATACCGGTGAGAAAAAAAAGCTTTATGTAACTAGGTTAAAAGATAATAGAATAAAAAAATTTTCTTATAATAATTTATGTAATTATTCGAGTTTTTGTAATTATAAAGAGTAAAAGGAAGAAGAAAAAATTAAAGAGTTATCAAATTTTATTTGTATAGATATAGATAATTCTATTGGATAAAATTATAACTTTGCAAGTAAAATCCATCTATTACATTGTTGCATAAAGACCAAGTACAACTAACACGTTTTCCTAAAATACTAAAAAAAAAATGAAATTAAGTTATCATCCTATTGATACTTTATATTCATGGTATTTAATCTCCAAAATGAATTATTTTTTTAAAAAAATTAACAGTAAATAATTTGGGAAAAAATGCGAAAAAAACAGCTATTTTAACATGCAAGGAAAACTTGTATACAAGTTTTTTCTCTTCAAATTATTAATGTCAAATGTGTGTAAAATCTGACTAATTTAAACAAGTTTAACTTTAAATTTGGACTAGTATGTTTAATTAAAATAAGTGAATTCGATGTTTTTTTTTTAACAATTAGAGCTAAAATAATTAAAAAACAATTCCCATTTTAGTAAATTACACTGATATTTATGAAATTTCTTGAAATTGTACTGATAATTCTTAATTTTTTTAACGTTTACAATATCTTTCTTTACAAGGACACACTATAATTTTATTAAAAATTAATTAAGAGTTAATATAGCATAAGAAGTGTTAGTGACTTGTTTTTCAAACAAATAAGAAAAATAAGAAAAAATATTGTAAGAATAAAAATAGGAAGTGTTGTGTAATTTCAACAAACCTCGAGGTTTCATAATAATTTGCGTACTCTTTATGAAATTATTAATGTTAAATGTTTGCAAAACTTGACTAATTATAAAAACAAGTTCAACTTTAACTTGGACTAGTATGTTTATACTTTTTGGTTTATACTTTTATGCTTTTTGTGTCTTTTTCCTTATATGTGACAAAAAAAAACAATAAGTTCAACTTTAAATTGGACTAGTATGTATAATTAAAATAAGTTGAGCTAAAATAATAAAAATAATTCTCATGTATGAAAATAAATTACACTAACATGTTTCATGAAATTATGCTATCAATCCCTGTTTTTCTTAACGTTTACAATATCCATCCTCACAAAGACACAATAAAAATAAATAAATAAAAAAGTTAATATAACATCTAAGAAGTATTAGTGTCATATTTTTCAAATAATTAAAAAAAAATATTGTTCCAGAGTAATTTACTTACTCTTTAAGAAATGGTTCCTTTCCCTTAAAATAGGAACCATTTCTAATTGGTATATGCAAAACGTCCAATACTCACAAATCTAATCGACAGTGTATAGAAACAGCCTAGAAGCACATCAGCTTTCTACTTTCAATAGCATCCTAAGCAATGGGCCCAACGATTGACATACTTTAAGAGACAGATAACACTGAACCAGAACCTATCCAATCTCCCTACTTTCGGTGATGGTGTTCAAGACCCTACCTAATCTTAACAATACAGTCGAGGAAGAGAGAAAGCGAAAGCGATGGATGCACTTTGCCTGAATATTGAGCCAGAAGGCACCAGGTATGGAGAAATTACAGCATCAAAAATTCAAAATACAAGCTGAGATTTACAAGAAAATCCAATCAATATACGTGTAACGACAATGAAATTCACTGCCAATATTAGCACGTCTTCAGGTATGATATAATAATGAGTGGACATTTAAGATTTTCTGTAACTGCATAGTGCATACCGGCATCCACAAATCCTGAATACAAATTCTTTCATAAAAAATGGGGGAAATTAACTAGCCTGAAGCCCTGAACGTTCACAAAAGCTAACTTAATAGATCTTCAAATCATGAGAACAAAGTTTCAGTCTGCTCGAGAGCCACTGCTACCTGCAGAAGATTTCTTACTGCCATACTTCTGCCAAATATTAAAAGAAATACTGCGTTATATTTCACCCAGAAAGGAAACAAAAACAAAAGCAAATCTTACTGGTGTTGGACTGAAGGTACAAAGAAATAACAGTTGCACAAGCAAGATAAATGATGGAAGGGGGATTTAAGCATAAGAAACTCAACCTGCTTCCCCAAGTTGAAGGGGATATATTTGTATTTAATCATGTGAGCAATTTGGCGCCTCATTGTAAGGACAAAGAGAACAAACCAGTAACAGAGTAATATGGGCCAAAAGACAGGAACATCAAATAGGGAAAAGAAGGTCATCACAAACGCTATGCAGAGAGCCTTGGTGAAAGAATACCTGCACCCATCACAAAAATTCATGGCCATGAATAGCAGCAACCACTCTGAATAAATAAGATATATTGAAGCTCCAAAAATTCAGGTTAATCAAGTTTGGTTACAAAAAGGGAAAAAAAAGTGCATATATTGAAGCTCCAAAAAAGGATGAAGTATGCCGTTAATATCAAATCTAATGAAGAGGATCGAATGAAATTATGAATTCTAATTTTTATGTTGTTTTCTATTCAAGCAATGTAATAGACTAAAATATATTTCCATTTATAACTAATCCTATCTTGCATTACTTAATGTGGATATGTATCAAATATTTAACATCTTAACTTTTTTAATTTAAATATTACTTAAACAGAACAGTGCATTGTGTTAGGGTTATTTTATGATATTTGTCTGAAAGGATATTTATATCAAAGAGAAGAGAGTTATAACTTTGATATTTTTATAAAGTTATTTCACACAGAATCGTATAATGGTGAGATAAGCCCTCATAATTTTACTTTTGATTATTATCCAATATGTCTTCCAACCATTGAAGTATGAGTGTGCTTTTTATAAACGGTTATTTCTCTTCTTGTTTTATCGAAGTAGAACCTTGTTTGTATCCCAACACATTGCACAGTAATGGTACTAGTTACACCTACAAATGAACTCACACCACTTTAATCACTACTTAGAGCCTACTTAGATAAATTTCTCAAGAAGCACTTCTAAGAGAGTAAAATAGGAAGGAAAAATGAAATAAGTTTCTCCAAAATCTTCTTTTTAACTCATGCATAAACTAGCTTTAACTCATGCATAAACTAATTTTAACTTACGGAGAAACTTATTTTAATTTTCTTTTTTATTTTTGTCCCCTAAAACTAAGAAGTTTATCTAAATAAGCTCTTATTAGTTACTATAGAAGTTAATTTTATGGGCAAAGTATAACGCCTTGTTTAGATAATATTTTTCGATACACACTGGAAGACATAGAAGGTAAAATGAATTAAAATTAGACTAAAAATATACTTTTAGTCTTTTATTTTATTTTTTAGATTCAGTTTGATCTTCTTTTTTTAAAAAAAAAAAAAATCAATTTAGTCATGCTTGTTTTAGTGCTCTTTACTTTATAGGTCGAGGCCATAGGAATTTCTTTCAGCAAAAAAGGAATAAATTGGGATATAAACAAAATTGCTAATTCCGTTTATAAACCTTTTGTATAAAAATTCAAAAAAAACGTTGTGGATTGGTATAAGTTTTTGACAAAGGCAACTTTTTCGGTGATTCTAACTTTTTTCGGAATATTTATGGAGTCATATTTCTACAAACTGATTTCTTCCAATTTATGAAATTTGAATTTATTAAATTTATTTGGAGAAAGTGTTCCTAATAAAATTGTTTTATGTTTATAAAATGATTCAAAATGGACCTTTCAGTTAATTCTTAACAATTAATGTTAAAAATAAAATAAAAAAATGAGTTGACTGCGTTGATATAATTTTTCATATAACAAAGGACAAAATTGAACCTTATTAAAAACATAAAAAACCAGACCGAACCTATTTAAAAACATAAAGAACCAAATTGAAACTAAACCCAATTAGTTGATACAAAAACTCTCATTTAACTCAAAAATTGATTTTAACTTATCCTACTTGTAAGCTAATTTTAATCGAATATGTTTGGATAAACTTTTCTATATATATTTTTAAAAATGAAACAAGTTTCTCTATAAAACTAAACAGGTTATATGAGAAAACATCTACAAATTAGCTTATACATAAACTAATTTTAATTTTTGGATAAACTTATTTCATATTCCGATATAAGTGCTTATATAAAAATTTATCCAAATGTACCCTAATACATTTTACTTTCTTATTCTTATCCTATAAGTGTTTGCTTAAGAGTTTATCTAAGCAGGACCTAATCAGTTTAACTTTTTATTTTCTCTTATAAAGAAGCTCAACCAAACGGGACCAAACCTAACTCAGTTAATCTACGTATAGAATTCCAGGTTTCCAGGAATAGAAAAGATCCTGAATTAGCCAAACATAAACAGAGAGAATGGGGAAATACCAGAACTTGAACTCAGGTAGGCGGCGAATGAAGGGTTTAAACTCATCAGAGCCTTTGGTTGGAAGCATAGGGGCGTTGGAGGGATCGAGCTCTGGATCAACCAAAGGGGAGAGAAAACCAATCAAGAGATTGAGGAGGTAGATTCCGAGGCCGTAAGAGACAATGTAAAATCCCTGCACATAAAAAATGCGCAAAACGTAGATGGATGCGATGACCAGAGTCCCAATCCATCTGTAGGCAGAATGGGGAGTAGATTTATCGAGATAGTATTGAAACAGCTTCGAGAAGTCGTGCAGGTATTGCGTCACCGGAGCAGACGGCGAAGCGGCGCCACCTCCACTTCCCTCCATTCAAATCACAACCTCGCTCTCACCTGGCACCGACAATAATCCAAGATTAGGGTTCTAACGTTTAAAGTTGATAGAAGAATAAGGGGAAATGAGATCTTTGGATTATGCTGGAAATTGAAGAATAGGAGCTTACCTGGTGTCTAAGCAGAACTACGAGGCGCGTTGATGGCACTTTTTTTTCTTTCTATTTGGTTTTTTTTCCGTCAACCCTCTGTCTCATCTCATGTTAAGTTAAAACTTAAGACTTGAGAGGGTGGAAGGTAAGGTAAGGTACTATCAGATCTATACTACGTTTTCGTCACCCTTACCACCTTATTTTATTTACTTGCCATCTCTACCCTTCTAAGTTCCAACTTTAACAACTAACTCCAACTTTCACTTTTAATTTTTAAACATACAAATAAATTAAAAAATAATAATAATTACATTCAAACTATTTATTATTATTATTATTATTATTATTATCTATTTATGGTAATATTATGAAGTATTTTTTGTACAATTAAATTGATATTAAGACGAGAATATGTTAAGAATCTCATTATCTCAAAATAAATTACTATAAATCTTTTAAAATAAATAAATTAGAAGAGGCGCCGGTAAAATTGAGAAAGGTTGGCTGAAATGGGCTTTACCGGCCCAATAGATCATGGGCTGACGTCGCCATGGTCGACAATTGACGAACCAGCAAATTGAATTTGATTGGCGGTTTGATATTTACGCTCCCAAATTGAAAAATAACGAGTGGAGGAGACTCCTCCTTAAGTAAATAATAATAATAATTTACAAAAATAAGAATTTTAATTAATAAGAGTCTGGTATGTGACAAAAATTTGGAACCCAAAATGATCATGCTGAAACAATGTTAAGTCATAATCACTCACGCTGCACTTCCCAAAAGTGGCATGAATTAGTAGGGCCTTGTGAGGCAAAGTCTTCAAATGATTAAGATTTACGAACCATGGTTCCGTTTTTCACTTGACATCCACTTTGCTCCAAGGCCAATTCAAAAAACCCACCTCCATGAATGCTAGAATTCACGCATGGGGGAGCAAACTGCAGGATTATATCTCTTAGTGTCAGAAAACCTGTAACTTGCTCACGATCATTGACCAGAAAGCTGAAACTGCTATTAGTCGCTGTTGCATGCTCCATTATTTGCTTGAGCGTTTCATTTTCCTTGTTCGCAACTGGCAAGTCCATTTTGGGCGTGAAGCTGTTTTTCAGGCGGAGACTTGCTGCTGTGAGTAAAGCCCCACGGTCTTGTTTAATTGCTGGTTTAGTTTCTCTTTTGTCAGTCTCTATGTGAATGAATTCTTCCACAGTTAAAATCCTGTTATGGCATTGAAACAAGCAATTTTGTCACATTGGTTACATTAAAATTGTTGATTCCATATTGTAGCCTACATTTGGCAGAGAGAGGACATGTTTTTGAACTTACGTTCTATTTCTAAGGATGTCATTATTCTTTACAAGATTATAAACGTCGCCGTTCCTCACATTACCAAGGAGCTTCTTAGTCATTCGATCTACAACAGCAACTGCACAAGTTTGGTTTTGCCAGAGCAACTTTAAAGCATCTGAAACACTTTGGTCCCCATATACACAACTAGGACTTTCTTGGCCTTCAAATCTGTGGAAGGATAAGAAAAGGGTCAAAGATCATTAGGAGCTTCTGATATTTCAGTGCTTCAATTGATTTATAGTTCTAGTGTTCTACTCTTAACTGCATTATCAGAAGCTCCTAACAGAGCAACATAGTCACATAGAAGATTACCAATTCATTTGAACAAGTGGTAAATGGATGTATGTAGTTCAAGGAATAATGTGAGAGTCGAATACCGGAAATCTGACAAGTTCTTGTCTGCAATGCTATCAAACCACTCTAGCTCACTTGATTGAAGAAGGTGTTGCACTACTGCGTTCTAGCAGAAAGGCACAGCATATTACAAGAAGATACTGTGCTTCAATCCATAATTCAAATTTCAAAACCGGTGCTTAACTCAGCAGATACCTGTGTAACAAAACCGATGATGAGTCCAGCTTCAGGTTGTTGTATGACCGGCAAAACGTGCAGTCGATGCTTAGAGAGAAGTAGCAGTGCATGCAAAACCGTGTCATCCATGTTTACCGGGAAAAATGGTTCCCACAGGAATGACTTAGCCAACTCGCTAACCTATTAATATTGGAGTAGTAGTAATTAAAAATTAACAATCTCTTCAATTGGACACTTTTGTCTTTTATGGCATGCATGCTTATAATGAGATTCATTCCTAATATCCTACATGAGTGCAAAAGTTGTTCAAAGAAATTTTTGTCATGGTTTGCAAGGAAGGACTAAGCAAAGAAAGTAACAAAAAGAAAACGCTAGAAACCTTGGTTTGTCCAATCTGAGGAACCTGATCCAGGATGGAGAAAAAGCCATCTTCCTCTATAACCTTGAGATGGCTTTCCATGGTATCATTCTTCATCTTGTCATATTCCTTGAAATAGTACATGTTTAATGAGAATGCCGTGGCATTTGAGTGGGGGGTGGGGTTCTCTAAAAGTACGAGTTATTTATATATGTATATATACCTCAAGGCACCAAAGAACCATGCTTGTAAAATCAATGAGACCTATATACCGATCTGAAAACCTTACGCTAGCCGTGTCCGAGTCTGACACATCAAATATAGCTGCAGAAAAGATGTCCTTTTCGTACAACACATGAATTGCATCCCTTATACTGTCTCCAGCTTTTAATTCCAAAACTTAGCATATGCATCGAATCATATAAGAGCCATGAGTAATGTTGAATGTGACAATGTGGTGTGAGTACTGATTCTTAAACAAAACAAAGTTGGCAGGAACTAAAAAAGTACCAGGTGAATTTTTTATCCCCGCTATTGAACTAATGGGTATGTGATCAAGAAATTGTTGGAGGGCAGAACCAGAATCAATCTGCACGTGTTGGCCATCATTGTTGAGGCTCGAAGTCAGGTTTTTTTCCTTGTCTTCTGACGCTAACACGTCCACTATTTTTTGAGATTGCATTGTCTTCGTTTATTGTTCTTGAAGCACTAAACTCCGTGCATTAAATTTAGCGAAACTTACAACTTTTCCATCTCCCTCGTTCACCACATGTGCCCCTAACCGCTACAAAAGGTCACATGTTACACGTGTCAATCTCTTGGTAGTCAATTACCCTGATCTTGCCACGACCTTAGTGGGTTACGTCAAGATTGGTTATAATTTAAATTTTAAAATCAAAGCCCCGTACCATGTAATACAATTTCCAACATTTTATTATAACATTATAAGAAAATATCAAAATATCATATACCAAAATGTTTCATTTGAAAAATAGGTCTCCCACCGACCAATTTTTCATCTTAATTTTTTTTTTTTACTTTGAAAAATTGGTTAACCAATAACCGAATTTTCATTAATATATTTTTTTACAAATTTAATTATTTGTAATATTATTATTTTTTATGCAATATATTTTTTTATTTATATTGTTAGCTTAAAATTTTAGTTAAGATTAGTTAATCTATAAATAAATTCACATTTTTTTTATTTTATAACTTAAAAGTTTTATAAGGATAGATTACCATATTCAAGTATTTGTGAATGTATGACTTTATTAAGAAGTAGATTTTTTATTACTAGGTGATTTCACGAAATATAGCAATCATCATGGATTATTATATATAAGTACATGAAAATGGATACAAGGGAACATGTTCAACCGAAAAGATGTTCTATATGTAGAAATCAAGTCTTAAAAAAAATGTAACTATCGTGTAGGATTTTCTAGCCAAAAACAATAATTTTTTTTTATAATGTTTCGTTACCTCTCATTTTATTCTTCATGTTATTTTGATTTAATGTCAATTTAACAATTTTATATATTATTTGAAATATTAATTTTATTGATTATAATATATTAAAAATATTTAACATGTTTTTATTTTTCTAATAAGTCATCAAACACATATATTACAAAATGTATTAATTATCATTAAAAAAAATACCACACTTATTATAGAAAAAAATATGTTGTTAAAATAGAAATTAAAATTTTATTTATAAATTGACTAAATTTTAGGCTAATAGATTAAATAAAAAATATTTATATAAAAATAATAATATTACAGAAAAATGAAATTGTAAAAAAAACTGCGGTTGAGATATCGATTACTGATGATTAACTAATTTCTCAATGTATAAATAAAAAATATAAAAACTTAGGTGAGAATTGGTTGATGGAATACCAATTCCTCAAAATGAATCATAATTATAATCAACTCTTATATATTAAATATTATTATTTTATAGAGCATTTTTAGGAAAAAAAATTGTTTATGAGAAAGTTTGTAGGGATTTTTTAAACTTCTCATTTAATTTTGTTTACATTTTTCATAATTATTTATGAATCAAATTTGAATACTTTAGTATTTTTAAAATAAGTTATCAATAAATAAAAATAATCTTGTACTACAATATAAATTATTTATCATAAACCTAAAATATATTTAAATATTTAAAATATATATTTATAAAAAATTTAAATATAAATTATATATTTAAAAAATATTTATTTGTATATAAAATTTATTAACTCTTATGTATTAACACAAACAAGTGAAAGCAATTTTTCCTTTGATGAGAGAGTTTGTAAGGATTTTTTTAACTTCTCATCTAATTTAGTTTTCATTTATCACAATTATTTATGAATTAAATTTTAATATTTTAAAATAAATTATTAATAAATAAAATTAATCTTCTGTTACAATATAAATTATTCATCACAAATCTAAAATATAATCTATATGTTTAAAATATCTATTTATATAAATTTAAATATAATTTATATATTCAAACATAATACTTATTTGTATATATAATTTATCAACCATTATATATTAAACAGGAGTGACTATCTTACGTGGTGATGTTTTTAGGAATTTTTCTTCAATAAAAAAGTTAGTAGGGATTATTTTTACTTTTTATCTAATTTGATTTTCATTTATCACAATTATTTATAATTAATTTTTCATATTTTAATATTTTTAAAATAAGTTATCAATAAATGCAAATAATTTGCGCTATAAGATAAATATTCATAACAAATCTAAAATATAATTTATATGTTTAAAAATATATATTTATATAAATTTTTAATATAATTTATATTTTCAAATATAATATTTATCTGTATATATAATTTATTATAACTTTTAGTTATATAATAAAATATAGTCTATAAATAAACAAGTTAAAATATGAATGCATATCAAATATGAATCTCTATCATATACAAGAACAGTTTTAGAGACTTTTTCTTAAATATAAGGTTTTTAGAAATATTTTAACTTCTTATCTATTTTAATTTTTTATTTATAATAATTATTTATGAATTAAATTTTAATATTTTTAAAATAAATAATAAATAAACAAAAGTATATTATACTACGATATATATCATTTATCATAAATTTAAAATATAATTTATATATTTTAAAAATCAATTTATACAAATTTTAAATATAATTTATATATTCAGACATAATATATATAACTTATCATAAATTATAATTATATAATAAATATTTAGTCTATACATTGTACAAATTAAAATATTAGTAGTTTGATAAATATATCTCAAAATATGATATTTTGATAAATTTATTTATAGCTTATAATATTATAATAATAAAAACTCTACTTTTTTCATCATATACTGATTTAATTGAGACTAGAACCTACCGATAATAATGTAATAAATTTTCTATTTTTCATAAAATGATTTTGAGATTTTCTACTATACTCTTTTTTATTTTAGTTCCACAATAAATACTTTAATTGTCAAATTGTAAATTAATTAAAAATTTGATAAGATATAAGAATCTAGTTAACAAAAAATAATTAATATTATCTTAAATTATTAAAATGACAGCTAAATAAAAACAAAACTATACTGAAAAGTCAACAATTAAAAAAGAAAGAAAGAAAAACTTTCTGATAATAAAAATTGTTAAAGTTTTATAATTTTTATAAATTAAAATATTTTTAGTTCTTTATCTAATTTTTATATTTATTTTATTTTTACTTATTAAAATATATTTTTTTATTTTTTTTATCAATTTAATTATTTTAAAACAATAATTTTTAATTTTGTAATATAATTTTAAATCAATTTTTAACTGATTTCATACGTAAAATTTGTAATAATAGATTTAACTATATTAAAATTATAAAATTCAATTAATCTATAAGAATTATAATATAATAAAATTTGTGTGAAAAATATTTTATAAAGAATTATAAAATAATATAAAATTATAATTTTTAAAATTTTTAGTTATCTTTTTAACTTATTTTTATATAATTTTATCATGTTTATAATATTTTTTTATTTGAATTAGTCAAAAAAAATTTAAAATCATGCCTGTAAATTAAAAACGATCATCGCTTCAAAAGAATAAATTAATCCAAATTTAAGATATAAATAATCATAATAAATATTTTAAAAAGTAAAGAATCAAAATAAATTTAAAAATAAAATAAAAGACGAAAAGATAATTTTACCTATTTTTTATATATAATAATAACTCTTACGAACCATTCAACTTAAAAAGAAAATCATAAAATATATCATACAGCTTAAAACATGTTAAGATCAATAATAATAATAATAATAATTCCTCACAGGAAAATGCAAAAAAGAAAAAACATTTTCAAATGTTGCTATTTACATTCCAAATTTGTATTCACATGTTTATTATAATATTTTAAATGATTTCAATTTTAAATAATTGTTTATAACTATAATATAATATAAAATGACTTTATTTTTTAGTAAAGTGTCAATTTAATGTCTTATACCTAAAATAATGTTTGACCAAGAGTTTAGTAAAAGTGTCAATTTAATGACTTTTTATTTTTTTTATTAAAAGTGTCCACTCAATGTCTTCAATTTATTTACTCGTGCATTTCATTTTCATCTTTTATTGATTCTATTTTTACATGTATTGGTGGTGGGGGGGAGCTTCTATTTTTCATATAGCAAATAGGGTGGAGTTGTGCTGCTTTCTCCGATCCAACACAGCATTTCAAACAGCTTCCCCTTCCTTCCCAAACATGGGACTATTCCTCTTCCATCGCCTTTCGGTAACCAGCCCACAAATGAGCGCCATCCATTCATATCACAGTGCCATCTTCTATTGTTGCCTTCTCCATTATGATGGTGATTCCTGATCGAATGTAGAATCCTTCTTCTTCTCTCTCTGCTTCTTCAACGCCCTGCACAAACCATTTTAGTTGGTACACATGAATAGGTTGCTTATGATAGGTGTTACATACAGGTATAAGCATTGCTTACATCTTTGTTTATGATGATGACATCTTTCCCGATCTTTGCATTCTTGTCAATAATACAATTCCTTCAAAAAAAGAAAAAAAAATGGCTATTATTAGTTGGCAATGATAAATAGAATTGTTACATGATGATAATGACTTAATTGCAATTTTTGCTACCCATCTCTTATATTTTTGTAAATTTTGCTACTCAACTTTCAAAAGTGCACATTTTGCCATCAAATTCTAAAATTTCAAACATTTTACCACCTTTTTGTTGACCATCTAATGTTAGTTTATCATTGACATAGCACGTTGACCGCAGACATGATATGTTGATTGTTGACATGTCATGCTGTGTCACATCATTATACAGCATGTCATGCAGTGGTCAACAAGCCATATTAACGATCAATGTATTACATTAACCGTCAATGTTTATATCAACAATGAATTAACTACGACAAATGGTAAATTAATAAGGTAATAAAATGTGCAAAATTTTGAAAGTAAGATAACAAAATGTGCAATTTTAAAAGTTAGATGACAAAATTTGCAAAAGAAATGTGAAAAATGTGAAAGATGGGTAAAAAAGTGCAATTAAGTCTTATTATAATATTGATGCAAACAATCTAGTGTCCATCAACTGTTAGTTGAAGTTACCTAATTTTGGTATTGCTCCCAATCCCAATTGGGACCTTCCCCTCTGCCATCAGAGAAGCAATTTCGGATTCGGTTTGGTAATAGTCCGCTCCCATCATTACAGTGTCCTGTAAAAGGTGGTTTAGTTAGGAGGAATCTGAAATGAAATGGTCTGGCATCACGGGTCTAGAATATGTAGTAGTTTAATCAATTACCCGGAGCTCAACACCATAATCTAAACGTGAACGTTCACCCACAATGGAGTGTTGGACTGTGCATTCCCTCAGGAAACATCCATGGGAGATAATGGCATCCACAATCTACCAAAGCAACTCAAAACGAATCAGTAAGACATTTAATGATGTTACTAACATACTATAAGATAGATTATGAATATCATACCCGGCATTTGTCAATCTTCGTTGGTGGAAGGAATCCTGGAGACGTGTAAATGGGAGTCTTGGGGTCATAAAATTCAAACTTGTGACTCTGCAAGAGAGTGGTGTAAAGCAGATAACTATTAGTTTCAGATTAACTGGGCAATGACACTCACAATTTGCAACATTTCAGCAGCTAATTGAGCTGAGTTTCACTCTAACTACTAGTTAGGCCTGTCGGCCATGAGCAATAATAATAGAGGTACTATTGCATATTATAGTTATACTATCCGAATTCATGCCTCCTCCAATTAAGTATCTATACGGTACAATTTGCCATTTCCTAGTGGCCTCCATTCTCAGCCGACAGCCTATAATACTGAGTAAGAGCCAAGTTAGAGAATGATTGTTATACATATCTTAAACTCACCTCTTCAGTAAGAGCCAAGTTAGCATCGTAAAAGGACTTTATTGTTCCAATGTCTTCCCAATAGTCTCTGAAAAAATATGACTGCAAACACATAACTTTGCATTATTACCTATGTCATAAATGGCACATACGATTCCCTATAAAATGTATAAAAGCATTTGAAAGATTATTTGTGGGATTTTCTCTTACTTGGACGTTGTGGTCTTTCACAGCTGCAGGGATGATTTCAGATCCGAAGTCATTGGATGTGGGATATCTCCATTTCAGAAGATTGAGTAAAACATCTGTCTTGAATACATAAACACCCATAGATGCAATATATGGTGACTTGGATGCATCTTGGGGTGACAGCCCAAGAAGAGAGGTATCTACTTGCTGCAGAGAATAACACAGAAACACATGACTACATTGTGACCAGACAAATATATCATGAACATATTATTATGGTTGCAACAAGTTTATAGAAAAGTTAAATAACTACAACAAGAAAAAGATGAAACATCAGGATTCATGGCTTTTTGGGTCTGGAAGTTTGCAAATTGCTAATCCATCCTTAATAACTTGTACCTATGATGCATTATAAGTCATACTGGATTTAAGAATGTAAAATGCTATAGTGCTAAGAAGTTCACTCTTAGAAGGATGAGGAAAGACTCTTGAAATTAACAAGGATAATTTAATTTTCTTTTCCTTTTGGTAGTAAACAACCACAAGAGAATTACCAGATAACTTGAAAACAGAAACAAGATGCAATGCAACATTAGGTTAGCTTGTGAATTACCATTGCTTTCAGATCATCACCCTTTGGTTTTTCTGAAAATTGAATGATGCGGCCTCTGTCCTCTACTTTAACCAATCCATAATCTGATGCACGGCTGAAAAACATGCAATTAAGTTTGTAAATTTCCTGTCTTTAGGAAATTAGTTGTTTCTATTCACTCACCCTATAAAGAAATCAAGCATAATACTTATATTGACTTAGCAGCATAATGATATTGAGCAACAAAAAAAAAAATCTTACAGAACACACCTGTCACCCACAGCAGCACATGAAACTGTAATATCAGCATTTCTATCAACGTGACTCTGTTCATTTGTAACCGAAGTAAATCAGAAAAAAAAAATGGAAATAAAATGAAAAAATATCATTCTACAAAACAATTACACTGTATACCTGAATGAGGTCCATGTAATCCATTCGATATAGATGATCTCCAGCCAAGATCAACACATTCTCAACGTTTGTATTCTTAACTTCCTGCCAAAATGATCCTATCACTTATTAAAAACCTCAAAAAGTGATAATTATAAATATATAAAAAATACTCAAGAAAAAGGCCAAGTAGTATATATAAAAAAACTACGTGCCCACCTCAAACACCCAAGTGAATTGTCTCACAGCATCTGCAGTTCCTTGGAACCACTTCTTTCCCGCCTCTCCTGGTGTTTGAGTAGCCGCCAGAACCTTTTTGGGGTTTAGGTTGATTTAATTAGTCACCAATATCATAATCATAAAAAGGAAAAAACTTGAAATTGGTCACTTAGAACCCTCTTTTAGTGGCTTATATATTTATCAAACAATCACAGTAACCAGAAGGGCCACAGTGATGGATATACTTATGCACATACATACCTCCACAGTCCCGTCCCCAAAGTTGATTCCATTTCCAAAATAGGTGCGGGCGACGTGACGGTTGAGAGATGCAGAGTTGAACTGGGTCAGCACGAATATTTTATTGATGCCACTGTTGAGACAGTTGCTCATAGGGATGTCTATAAGCCTGTAGCATCCACCAACAGGAACCTGAAGCACACCGCATAATTACAACAACCTGGAATTCCAACAACCTAGGATCATTCAGACCAGAACCATGAACACGATTCACTTACCGCAGGTGTGGCAGCACGTTTTGTGAGAGGAAAGAGTTGTGTCCCTGGTCCTCCTCCCAGTATGATGGAAACAACATTTTTCGGATCAGCCCTTCGTCTCAGGAATGAAGGCACTTGCAAGGTCTGAAACTCAAAACAAACCAAATAAAAATGCAACCACAAAAAGAAAGTAAAAGGTGAAGCCCAGAATCAAATTCAACCTACCAGGGATTCTTTGGCATTGTTTGAAGTGAGAACAGCAGATGCAACACCATGTTTCACCCTCTTCTGGCTTCTCGAACTTTTATCCAACTGATTCATGACCAAGACACTGTTGTTCAAGCCACCTTTTATTCTTTCCCCTAGAAAGCCATTTTCTTGACGAAAAAAGTAGCCTTTCTCACAGTTTGCAAAATGGGTATTAGCTTTCAAGTTCACACAAGCAGAAGAAGCCATTGCAGTGATCTAAGAAGATGGTGATGGATCAAATGTCCAAAATCCTTGAGAACTGCAAAAGACCTCAATTTGTTCAGTTACAAACTATGAAGTGAAGTGTGCATTACACAAAGATCATGGGAAACTGTAACTAATTAATTGATTAATTAATATAAAGAAAACCTTACCTTGACACCAAGAAATGTGAAGGGGAAGATGATTAAATTAATTAATTTGTAAACGTGCAATAAAGTTGAAATCTGGAGAAGCAACCATACCACAGGTCAATTATTAGGCATATAATGCGATGATCGAGTGGTGTTGAAGGTAGAGGTTGCTTTTATTGGCTTCTAGACCCCTCACGAGAAAGAAAAATCTTATGGGGTTTTTATAAATATTAATTTCCAAAAACTATAGTCTATGACCATCAAGCTCAATTACCTTAGTCCAAGTTTCTAGGTGCAGGGTCCACGTGGAAAAGCCATTAAGGAACAAAGACATGTCAATTACAAGCAGTGGCCGTAGATGAAATCAAAGAAAAATTAATTAATATCTAGATCGTTCGAAATTTATTGATGTGAATTTCTACGGTTGTTATTTGCTTGAAAAGAGAGTATACTCATCACTATGGACTCTTATTCAGTCTGCTCTAATCTGACATGAAGCATGGGAGGTACCAAGCCTTCACATGACGTAAAGTAATTTGTCACTAATAATTATTGTTTTTGAATTTGATTGAGTTTCATTTCATAATGATAAACATTTTTATGCTTGCAATTGCCATTTCACTATCCAGTTATTTCATACATTTGTCATTTACTATCCAACCCTGATGTGTATAGGTAAAACAACTTGTATTTTTTGCTTTAGCGTAGATTTTTTTACAAATTTGATTCTAAAATAATTAGTTTATTTTAAAAAGTAATATTTAAAATATTATATATTATATATAGCAATTTAAAGTTTCATTATAAGTGACACTAAATGAGGTGAGTAGAATATTCCATTTGATACCTCCAGAGTCTGAAACATGGACCATCTCTCTGGTAATTCAGATTAACTGAGCATATATACAAATGATGTTATTCAAAAGGCAAATCATTGCCCACCAAAAAACAAGCAAATCATTTTCAAGAAAACAAAAATATTCCTTTTCTGTTTTTAGACTGTCAAATAGTCCAATTCTTAAAAAATGTCCATATATAGATGAGAATTAAAAATAGAAAAACATTCCAAATTCGTTGATCGGCCCGCTCATTTTGTCATATTTGAAACTTTACTGTTTTCCAATCAAATTCAACCAGAATCAAATAAATTAAACAAAAAAAAAAAAGGGTTAGTTTGAACTGCTATATAAACTTGAGCAACTCAATTAATTATTGTAAAACATAAAACAATGCCTCATTCATTTTATATTGTTCATCACAATACATACGTTTTAAGAACATTACAGGATATTAGTTTCAAATCCCATTGTCATTACTATATACTAAAAATACATTACAATACATAGTTGTGATTTCATTTAACCATACATATGAGATGCATAATAAGAATACTAACAAAATCTGACATAATTGAAAAATAATTTTTTTCTATAAAGTCTTGCTAAAGTTAGTAATATATATATTCTATAACCGTATAAGAGGCTATATTTTTCCTTAATCTAAACTTTTAGTGAACAAAGAAATAAATGCATTTGACTATACATGTGAGATGCTTAAAAAAATGGTGGTAAAGTAATAAATGTTTTGAATCAGCAATAATGGAAGAGAATATGTACAAGGTTTTTTCAATTTTGTAAATCTTGCTTTATTTTTATTTTTTAAAATATAACATGCTGGATCAGTTGGAGGCATAGTCTCGTCCTTAGTACACGAGGCCGCATGCATGTAATGTAAGGTTCTCATGGACGCAGGGCCCATCATTTGTCAGTGGGCCCACCTAAGTATCTCTGTTTGTGGCTTCTGATCCTTTGCGGTCCACCATACCTTTCCCATGGCATGCTTTGCTCAGCTAAGTACTTGATTAGTATTAAAACAATTACCAAGCACATTTAAATGTGAAAGCCACGTTTTATACAATACTATTAGTTTATTATTATAGTGTTTATAAAAGTTATATTTTGTTTGGGAGTCATTAAAAACAATGAATGATTACATGAGGCCCGTTAATGAGAATGGGAGGCCCACACCGAACGATTACTAGAACAATACACGTGAGAGGGAGTGGTGCATGCTGTGTATGAATTTGGGCTGATTATGGGAAAATGGACTTTAACTTTAATTGAGAAACAAACAAGCGCATGATGCTGAGACTCACACTCATTATTTGGGTTCTACTGTGGATGATGAATGTGAATACGATGCCCTCCCACTGTCTCCACCGTTCATTTCTGTAGAAAATCCCATCAGATTTTGTTTGATTGCGGATGATGTATGATATGATCATCTCCACCGTTAAAGTGGTGTAGAAAATATCAACCTTCTCGGCCCCACCACTTCTGGGACATCACACGAGTACTAAACTCGTCCTACTTGAATTGAATTCTTTTATAAAAAAGAAATACATTTTTTTTAATATAAAATTTAGAGGAAAATAAAATATTCCTTGCAGCAGAAAGACAATTTACAAAGTGACAAAATTCATGTGACATGCTCTGCTGCTACCGAGTAGCAATTGATTAAAACAAAAATAGTAGTGATTGAGAATTTGAGATCACTCAGATAGGAGTTTATTTATTTCTATTTTAGCTTAATTAAAATTTTCATTTCTAATTGTAATTTATGTGTGATTTTATTTTCTTTAACTTTATTTAAAATTCCTTTTTTGATTCTTTACTTTTTTTAATCAAGCTTTGCTATTACTTTTTTTTATTTACATAAAACTCTCAAATCCTTACGTTTTACTTGTAGGTTTAAGATGGGAGAGATACCAAATGATTTAAAAGATGTAGAAATTAAAATCTGGTCTTTGACAGATTTGAATGAGATTGAGGTTTTTAAAACAAGGAAATTTGAAGTTGTTTAATTTTTTTAGCCAAATATAATATTTTGATCGATGAATTTTGGGTAAAAATAGTTTAAAGTAATTTAATAAATTCATTTAATGAAATTTTTTAGAATAAAAATGAGAAATCAAGAAATTTATATGTAACAAAAATTATGGAAGAAATTGCTTATAATAATTTGAACTTTTAAAATATTTAATTGCAACATTTTAAAAGAAAATTGAAGTAAACAGTCATTCAAAGACTAAAAATATATATTAGTAATAATAGATGAATAAAAATGTAATTAAGTTTTTTTAGAAGTAGTTTCTGTATGAATTAGATATTGAATGTACGACGCTATATATTTTATGCATAATTGAATAAATATTTGTTTAACTCACTTGAGTTTTTCTGCTGCTGTTATCATTTATGATTCAGGAAAAAAGTTTAACCTAAGAATTGTAAACTCTCTCATAGTACATTAGCAAGTGAAAATTGAATCAACCAATAACAACATAAAAAAAAAATTGCTAGTTTTTTTATCCGCTTTATGTGTTAAATTAAAAAAAAAATTGTTGACACCTTATATGTTATTTGAAACTTAAAAATATAAAAAAAAAAATAAATATAAACACAAAGGAATATGATGTAATATATACAAAAAAAAAAGTAATATAATGTGATAAATAAATAAAATAAATAAAAAAGAGATGAGAGGGACTGGGGCACATATGTGTACACTTTTCTTTTCTCCGTTTTACTCCTCTTAGATGCTTTTCACGTTTAGAATAAACTGAATTGGTAGTTTAGTATACTTTTAAGAAAAACGAGTACAATATGGAAATGTGAAACTCATGTTTTTTAGATCGCAGATCTCATGAAATTCTCCATCTATGGGAATTGTTTTTTACTTCAAAAAAATCAAATATTAAATAATTTATATTGTAAATAACAACACAAATACTTTTTATTTTTGTTTTTAATATGGATTTAAATCTATTTTTAATTTTTTAAATTTAGAATATATTTATTTTTGGTCCTTCAATTTTAAAACTATTATTTTTAGTCTTTATAATTTTATAAAATTATGTTTTAACCTCTCATGTCACCAATAATATTTGAAAATGACACTTATACACCATCAACTAGATTTAAGAAACACCATTAGTTAAATTTTATGTGATAGTATTTAATAGATCCCTTAACAAAATTTGAGTATAAGAAATAAAGCAAGATTTTTTGAAATTATATGAACTAAAATAATTAATTTTAAATTTGAGAGATAAAAAATAAATTTATCATAAATTTAAAAAATTAAAAATGTATTTAATTTTTTTTAATATATTATTAATTCCTAATATTTCATTTGTCAAAACACACTACTTTAGTCCAAATGCATCAAATGTATGCTTGATTTACCATTTGCAAGGCACAAACTTCCATCCATACATTTCAATAATGTAAATAGAGAAATAACAATACTAGTAGATTAAAAACAATAAAATATGATATTTATATGTTTAAAAAATTTCACATCACTTAAATCTCTGAGGTGCATTTTTAAGGACAAAATCATGATAGCCTAATAAGGGTTAAAGCGAACAATATTTTAGACGATGACTCTAATGATGTTTGCTAGAGGATTTACGGTCAAAACATTGACACTAAAAAGAAGGCCTAGGTCACTCTTACCTTTAGCTTCGATCGAAGGTTTATTTCACTATGTTTAAATAGTCTCACATCGCTTAAGAATCAAGACTAAGAATAGTTTATAAACACTCTCCTTCCTTAATTCTTTGAAGTGCCTTTTGAAGGATAAAATAGTGACGACTCAATAAATGTCAAAGCAAACAATACTTCAAATATGGTGACCTTAATGATGTCAATGAACTTATGATCGGAACACATGGACTATGTTTAACCCAATATTTTTTCTAACTACGCTCTCGGAAGGAGGTTCTACTTCATCACCTAAGAAAAGATATCCCTAAGTTGTAATGGTAGTAAAAGAATGACCTCGTCCTCCTTTAACACTAACTATATCCTTTATAGATGAGAATTTCGTTGGTGTGGATCCTCCTAAGGATGACCCATTGGTGATCTCGACAGTAATTTTGGAGTATATAATGTCAAAAGGATTTTGGTCAATTAGAGAAGCTTGGCTGACGTGATGTATTGGGATGTTTTCATTGGATTGAGGATTCTGAAGGTTTTGTTGTAAGAGTATAATGAGGTACTTGTTGGTTTTGTTGGTGAGTCGATTGAGGTTCAAGGTTTTATCGCACATCAATACCACGTTCAGAAGTGTCGAAGATGTGAAGACCATTGTTATCAGGTATATAGGTGTAAATGCACCTTCTTCATACAACGTGTTGCTGGGATAACCAT